TTGGGTTTTCACAATTTATTTAATAATGAGTTAAAATAACTCGAACTTTCAAAGTCTAACTAGAAGTCTAAATCGAAGTCTAACTCAGCAAGTCCAAATCGAACTCGAATCCAACTCAAGAATACTCTAATCCCGCCCAAAAGGGCTAACAGATGAATTTTATGGCTTTAAAAAGTCCTTTAAAAGACTGCATTTACAGCAGTTAAAAGGGGTGCGAAGTTCTAAACAAGGTATGTGAAAGGGGTCCCATCTGTCAATAGAAGGTATACGAAAAGAGTACCTTTGTTGTGAGAAATGGTATATAGATGATCTGCATAGTACTACAAAGCGGATTGTACGGGGATTCCTTTACGAGCAAAATTAGCAACGCGGGAAGTAAGCAGAGAATGGAAGAGCATCGTTACCAGGGCCAAAGTAGGTGTATATCTCAGATTATCCAGGAAATTGTGAGTGCTGTTTTATACCAATCCTTCAGCGTTTCTGTATGCCTTAGTGCAGCTGCTGCCGACCAACAACGCGTGGTATAGATGGCTTTAGAGTGACTACTTTTCTGGCTGTGGTGGTACCTATGCTGTACAGTGTAATGGGCTGTTTTCCATGCTATTGCTGACGTCAGCATCCAAGTTCCAGATAATTCTCTCAAATTGATTTGCAAACAGCCGTGTGAAAAACTTATTGCGTCATTGTGGCGGGAATGAGTACAGAATTGCAAAATATGAACATGAGAAGAAATATACTTTCAACGGAGGGAAGAATTAAAGCTATATAGAACTGGTTGTGTCACACATAATTTTTGACAAGCCGCTCACTTGACACGCATAGCTTCTACTAGTGCTATTAGTATTGATGGGAATATCAAAAAGAAAACTTCATGCGTAGACCTCTTACTGATCTTCGTTATAACAATGATACTGTATCCTCTGATATAGCACATGATGTCTTTCTGAATTTTTCTTCTTCTTTGCTTGAAATAAAGCCAGTTTCATAGCCCAAAGGGGGGAGGGAGGGGGCTCTGGAACCCCTGGAACCCTCCCCTGGCTATGCCACTGGAACTGAAACCATTATGGCTCTTGCTGAAACACAATATATTAAGTAAGGGTGTTAAAAATGGACGGCTATAGTCAAAAAGTACGTAAAGAAGGCACAAACTTGACTTGTAAATTGTGCCTATTGATTTTGATATTTTTCTTGAAACGCTAAGAATGTGACCTTTCCATGACAAATGCCATCGAGAGTACAAAAATTCAATATCATTATTGTCAAAAGTGAGATAACTTTGGATTTCCATCACGATTTTCGGTTGTTGTTTTTTTTTTCAATGCATATTGTCTATTTGATGTGGGGCAAAATTTCTGGGCGTTCGAAGACGGTGTCCGCCGGGGGTAACTTTTATACGGGCCCGAAAAGTTGTTTTATGTTTGTCGTGTTTGCATTCAAGGGAAAATGGAACTACCTCTTTAGAAATTTCGTTGCTCCCCATAAATTTTCCACTGGAACTAGACCCGAAAAGTCGATTGCTTACAATTTACAATAAGTTTCCTGAAAATCCTTTTGGGACGTAAAATGGAACTCGACTTTTTGGGTCGTACTAGCGGAAAATTTCCCGTATGGGAACAACGAAACATCCCTAGCCTGGAACAAGGCTCCGGGGGGAGGGAAGGGAAAAAGCCGGGACAAACAGGACAAATATCGGCGGGCAAATCGATCCCAGCGGTTGTCTGAAGTCAGCTTGCTTCGCTAGCCAATTTTCTTTCTTTCTTCCCCCAATGTGGTGCCTGGTCCCAGGCTAAAACAACCCAAAAGGTAGTCCTGTTTATTCCCCACGGAATGTTCCACAGAGAGAAACGGAAATTCGTGTTCTATTTCTTCAAAGCCATCTTTCATTCCAGTTTAAGGTATTTGCGGCCGTTTTTCGGTACATGGAACTGATTTGTACAAACGGCAATCGCCGGATTCCGGGACGAAACTTGACAGTCCTGAACCCAAACCATGAACCAACCGCTTTTCCCATGTAAATGGCAAACACTAACTGTCGTGTTCCATGTACTTTTCAACCGAATTTTCCGGAAACTTTGTTTGTTGTAAACAACTAGGTCGTCCCCCTTTCGCGCGGTCAGCGTCGCCGTTCTTAGTTGCGCCTCCGCTTCCTACCTAGGTAACCTGTGTAACCCCTCCCCTCAAACAAAATCCTCAATTTTGTTTGAGGGGAGAGGGTGGCTGTACATATGCTACTACCAGCCTAGGCTATTAGCCTGTAGTTTGCTCAGTAGGTTCAGGACGTTCAGCAGCTAGTAGTTTCCAAGGCCTTGAGCAGGTGAGTGAGTAGGATAAATCGCAGAATATACTTTCTAAGTCGGATTAAGAGATGAACTCGAGGACTGAGTTAATCCTTCTCTTCTATTTTCTTGATTTTCAAGTATCCAATTGTCAGCGGAGACTTTGTAAGCCTGGTTCCTCTATAAACTGTGACATAGTGACATACCGGTACTTCACGAGATACAAATAGGTCAGTGAGATATTAGAACCAAGCTTTACTGATTTCCCGTCCTCACAGTACACCATACAAAACTGAAAACCCAAAACCACGTATCCTGTGTTTACTTTGATCTAATAAATGCGGTGTTGACGCGTTGCACAAAAACAAAAAAAAATACAGTTGTATTGCACTCAACGGCTCAGTTAATCTTCACGCTAAATCTTCACGCACGTGCACTCGACGTATGGAAACCGAGGGGAACTGGCGAGAGTGGGAGTGGAAGCTCTACCCCTCCCCCTCCCCCTTTCCACCCTCCATCCTTACCTCTCTATTTTCGTTAGCCGTAGGCACCTGTTTGTCTTCTCCTAGGAAAAGGCAACCTCAGAACTGCGATGCATAACAACAGCAGTCTGGCACCCCTGATGTGATATCTGCACCTCTGTTTGCACCTGTTCCGTTAGCGTATTTTAAAAAACCGTACGCGTGAATTTTAAAAGATGAGAAATGTAACTCTGAGCATTTTGATATTCATCGCCTCATCTGGTAAACAATAAATGATTCGAATGAGAGACTTAAATCTTTTAAACAATATAGTAAACAATATATGGTAAACAAGCATCGGAAAAATGGTGTCCTATTAGCAACGCGGGAAGTAAGCAGAGAATGGAAGAGCATCGTTACCAGGGCCAAAGTAGGTGTATATCTCAGATTATCCAGGAAATTGTGAGTGCTGTTTTATACCAATCCTTCAGCGTTTCTGTATGCCTTAGTGCAGCTGCTGCCGACCAACAACGCGTGGTATAGATGGCTTTAGAGTGACTACTTTTCTGGCTGTGGTGGTACCTATGCTGTACAGTGTAATGGGCTGTTTTCCATGCTATTGCTGACGTCAGCATCCAAGTTCCAGATAATTCTCTCAAATTGATTTGCAAACAGCCGTGTGAAAAACTTATTGCGTCATTGTGGCGGGAATGAGTACAGAATTGCAAAATATGAACATGAGAAGAAATATACTTTCAACGGAGGGAAGAATTAAAGCTATATAGAACTGGTTGTGTCACACATAATTTTTGACAAGCCGCTCACTTGACACGCATAGCTTCTACTAGTGCTATTAGTATTGATGGGAATATCAAAAAGAAAACTTCATGCGTAGACCTCTTACTGATCTTCGTTATAACAATGATACTGTATCCTCTGATATAGCACATGATGTCTTTCTGAATTTTTCTTCTTCTTTGCTTGAAATAAAGCCAGTTTCATAGCCCAAAGGGGGGAGGGAGGGGGCTCTGGAACCCCTGGAACCCTCCCCTGGCTATGCCACTGGAACTGAAACCATTATGGCTCTTGCTGAAACACAATATATTAAGTAAGGGTGTTAAAAATGGACGGCTATAGTCAAAAAGTACGTAAAGAAGGCACAAACTTGACTTGTAAATTGTGCCTATTGATTTTGATATTTTTCTTGAAACGCTAAGAATGTGACCTTTCCATGACAAATGCCATCGAGAGTACAAAAATTCAATATCATTATTGTCAAAAGTGAGATAACTTTGGATTTCCATCACGATTTTCGGTTGTTGTTTTTTTTTTCAATGCATATTGTCTATTTGATGTGGGGCAAAATTTCTGGGCGTTCGAAGACGGTGTCCGCCGGGGGTAACTTTTATACGGGCCCGAAAAGTTGTTTTATGTTTGTCGTGTTTGCATTCAAGGGAAAATGGAACTACCTCTTTAGAAATTTCGTTGCTCCCCATAAATTTTCCACTGGAACTAGACCCGAAAAGTCGATTGCTTACAATTTACAATAAGTTTCCTGAAAATCCTTTTGGGACGTAAAATGGAACTCGACTTTTTGGGTCGTACTAGCGGAAAATTTCCCGTATGGGAACAACGAAACATCCCTAGCCTGGAACAAGGCTCCGGGGGGAGGGAAGGGAAAAAGCCGGGACAAACAGGACAAATATCGGCGGGCAAATCGATCCCAGCGGTTGTCTGAAGTCAGCTTGCTTCGCTAGCCAATTTTCTTTCTTTCTTCCCCCAATGTGGTGCCTGGTCCCAGGCTAAAACAACCCAAAAGGTAGTCCTGTTTATTCCCCACGGAATGTTCCACAGAGAGAAACGGAAATTCGTGTTCTATTTCTTCAAAGCCATCTTTCATTCCAGTTTAAGGTATTTGCGGCCGTTTTTCGGTACATGGAACTGATTTGTACAAACGGCAATCGCCGGATTCCGGGACGAAACTTGACAGTCCTGAACCCAAACCATGAACCAACCGCTTTTCCCATGTAAATGGCAAACACTAACTGTCGTGTTCCATGTACTTTTCAACCGAATTTTCCGGAAACTTTGTTTGTTGTAAACAACTAGGTCGTCCCCCTTTCGCGCGGTCAGCGTCGCCGTTCTNATCAGGTCCAAGCCATATCTTGCTAGAGGGAGTAGTTGGAAACGTGCATGCGAAGGAGGCGTTTAGGCTTAATTTCTTCTTCGTAAAGCAGTGTTTAAAGCTGATTTTCGTATAAAAATGTCAGAGGAGCAACAAAGAACTGAAAGGGTACGGGAACTGTGCTTATTTGGAGTATTTTTCCTTTGAAACAGTATGCAAACTCTTGTCTTTTTCTGGTTCATTTTGTAGGTGGAGAAAGTCGGGGACTTGACCGTCCATGTTGTGGTAGGTTCTTTTTGTCTTACTTTATTTAATTGTCTGTTTTTTAATTTAGGCTGTTCATGTGGTGATTTTTTGCTTTTAACTGCATCGTGTAGGAAATCGAGGGTGTTTTGCACGCTGCAGAACGCTGAGCTTGTTAAGCTAAAAAGCTTGGGTTATTTTTGATACGCTCGCTAACTCATTGCACCGTTGATCGCTGACCTTCTTAGGGCGAAGATTCGAGGGACAAACAGGACGAGAAGGAAAATATTAGGAAGAAGGAGGTCATGATAACCTTCCATGATGTGGGGATGAATCGTAAGTGATGTTGGTGTTCGCAAAATTCATGTAAATTTTTTCTGTTTGTTATCGATGCTGATATTAGATCAGCCCCGCTGCTAGATTCTATTGTATGAATTTTCTGCAAAACAACGGCCAACGTGCGTCACTGTTAACCTTGTGAACTGGACAAAAACAATAATGCATCTTCCTGTTGATCAGTCACGTAGCATCGCATATCTAAAACTAATCATGAGTGAAAAATCAGCTGTGGGAATAATGCTTGGCCGAGTTTCTTAATTGCGTTTGTGCGTTGGCTAGCACTGTAATACAGTATCATTGTATGGAGCGGATCCTGAGAAGCACATACTCAGACAAATAACGTTTTGATTCAAGTTATCCTTTCATCGAGCTTGTGAAATCTCACTCATCCGACCAATTCTTGTTCCAACTAGCTAAATTTATCATTATGCGTGACTTCTCACGGATCGAAATCGCAAACTTTGACCAAAGGTTAGGATCAATTTTCTGCAGGGATAACTTAAGGGAAATTAAGATTGCATTGTGTATACCTAAATCACAATATGAAAGAAATATTGCACTGAGATACTGTATATATTTCTCAAAGCTTGTAATACCTTCGCGCATCAGTGAATGAACTGGTGGGTCATTTAGTATATTGCACCATCGATTGAGCGATGCACAGCCAGTGATAAATCAAAACACGCCATATCAATAATATGCGTGATTAAATTAAATTAAATAACTACCTTGTTTGTGATTGCATTAATTTTGGTGATATAAAGACTCTACATCATCAATGTTACATCTCTTAGGAAAGCCCTGTTAAGTAAAGCTATTGACAGGGGTTTAGTTTTGCTAAGAATATACTTGTGATGGAAAGGTAGAAACCAAGAAAACAATCGGTAACAAGTTTCTACACTGTCTTGTGGGTGTGTCCTTGCAGTTTCATCTCAGCTTGTTTTCTGTCATAGTATTTCTAGCCAGTTGTCAAACTTATTAGTCTCTTCTCATTGTGTTTACTCCTTCCGTTTTTTGCTGCTTTCTCAGTTAACCATTTAGCCAGTGATGCTTTGAAAGCTTGTGCATTTATGAGCTATTTTTGGACACATAAAAGAAACTTTTCATTGAATTACACGAGTTTAAGAGTCAAGAAATTTTACTTTTTTTCCTGTAGATAAGACATGCTTTGAAAGATTTTTCCAGCATGAGGATATTGTAGGCCTTTTGGATCGCTTTGTAATCTACCACATTGATGCACCAGGACAGGTGAGGAATCCCAAGGGAAATGACTTTTAACCCTTTTAACCCTAAGATCAAAATTTGAAATCTCATTTGTTGCCCCTATTCATTTCCTATAGAAGTGGTGAGGAGAAGTTGAGAAAATATCAAGCAAATTCATCTTGTGTGATCATGTCTATAAGTCTCATGACCACTCTGTTTTACAAAGCATTGATATTACAAGGAGAAATTTGATGCTGATCACTCTTAGGGCTTAAAGGGCTATTAATTATTCACCCTAGCGTGCATCACAGGTTTAATCTAACCCTAGTTAGTAACGTCTGCAAAGCAATGTCTATATCCATGGTATGGGCTCTTAAATGGATGCAACAAATTACTGGAAATGTGTTTTGAATTTCCCTTCAGTCTGATTCGCAAATCGACAATGCCATTTGTAACAGGCAAATCATGGTGTGTGGTGTGTACTCAAATCCTGTTTCACAAGTGGGGCCCAGAGCAAGGCTTTTGGCACTTCTTTTCAGACCGACTTAACCAGTATCTCTTTAAATGTTCTCAAAAGATAGCCAAAGTCTTAAAGTCTTAATGATGCTGACAGTTTTGATGACTATCAGCCATCTTTAAGACTTGGGCTATGTTTTGAGAACATTTAAAGAGATATTAACTGTACTAGCCTGATGAATTTCTTCAAGAATTTACAACTTAACCATAGTTAAATTCCGTCTGTGGTGCAGGCTTAAGTTACTACGCAGGCACACTTCGCTAGAAATCACCTCCAAGCATGCTTGCTTAAAATGTCAGGCAAGAAAGCCTATGCAATTTGTATAGGTGATTATGACGACTTTGAGTTAAATTTGGAATTTATTTGCATGAGTGTGTTTTTCAAAAAGTATCAAAATTGCATGAGCCAGTAGGGTGAATGTGATTTTAGCTTTTCATAAAACACACAAGTGCAAAAAAATTCCAAATTGACGAGAAAAAATTGTTTGATTACTTTTTAATAATATACATGGAAAACTTTACTTACCTGGCTCTGTTTAAATGCTTTTCGCAGCAAGCTACCGGTAGACGTGGTTGTTTGGCTTATAGCTTCAAAAAACTTGTTTTGAGGAGCTGAATTGCCTGTCCCTATTTTCAGAACAGGTATATCTGTTCTCTTTAATTTAAAGCGGTTTGTTGAGGTCGGCGGGCTCATAACTCTCAATTTGCTCGGAAAATCTTTCCTCTTCTGTACAATAATTGTTTCAAACATCAACTCAATATCCAGTCCTCTTTTCATTGTTTTTGTTTGTGAAAGTTCTTTTTCAATTCTTCAATGGTAGTTTCTGTCGTGACTGAACTAAAATCAGCTTTGTACACTGGCAATTTTTCCACTCGCAAACTCCAAGGTACCGGCCAGCTTTCCAACAGCAGATTGAGGCACCTGATTGGTTCTTATATATTTCTATTGTTTATTAGCCGATCACAGTTTTCCATTCAGTTCCCCGAGAAATTTGCATTTTATTTCCTTCTTGTTGCATTTTGTTTTGTCATTTTTGCACTATGTCCACTAAAAAAATGCAATGCTCTCAGGAAATCAGATTCAAGAAATTTTTTTTATGTATATTATTAATTGTAAGAAAGTATGGCAGCATGCCATATAGAAAATAACTGCTTGCTTGATTTGCCTTCAGATGTTTATTTGAGTTGATGTTTTTCTTCATGCTTTATACAATTATTTATGTGCACACATCAGAAAGAAGTAGGTCTATAATTCAAAAGCAAAAGTTGGAATTCTTCCTCCAGAAGACTTTAGAGAAGACAATCAGGTATGGTCGTCCGAACGTTTCAAAATTCGCTAAACTTAAATTCGTTGTCGCTATCTTGAATTCGTTGTCGCTAATTTCAAATTTGTTGTCTCTAACTTGAAGTCGGTGTCGCTAAATTTTATTTCGTTGTCGCTAAAATTAAACTTGTTGTCGCTAACTTGAAGTCGTTGTCGCTAAATTTTATTTCGTTGTCGCTAACTTGAGGTCGTTGTCGCTAAAATTAAACTCGTTGTCGCCAACTTGAAGTTGTTGTCGCTAACATTAAAGTTTTCGTTGTCGCTAACTATCAAGGCGCTAAACTTAATTCGTTGTCGCTAACTATGAAGTCGTTGTCGCTAAAATTAAGTGAACTCGGTATCGCTAACTATACTAAGGCGCTAAAATTTACTTTGAAATATCATAGGGGTTGACAAGCCTGACTCACACTTTCCACCCACGTGTTTTAGCCTTTAAATCTCAGAGATTAGCTTTTACGAGTATATCTTTCAGAGACCTTCCTCGTTTGTATGATATAATTGGAGGTTCTTTGTAGATCTGTCTAAGAAGAGGTTGTTTCTCTATCAGTTGCCAGTGTTTCATAAGAATGTTTTTAAGGCTGGGAACTGATGGTTAATACTGCGTGACAGCGGGGGCAAAATGGTTTTTTCTCTTGATGGTTTTTGTCGGAGTGCTTCTTTCCTGTTCTCAAAGTGTATTTCAGAGAGAGTTAGAGTTATTAAGTTTCGTGGATAACCTCTCTCTCTAAGGTGCTTCTGGAATTCTTCTAGTCGGTTTTAAAAGTTTTCTTTTGAGGAATTTGTTCTGAGTAACCGGACGGCTTCGCCTTTTATAAAGCCCTTCTTGACCCCTAATGGGTGGCAAGACGTGAAATGTGTATATTGGAAAGTTTCAGTAGGTTTAAAATGCGTTCGTATGTCGAGAATTGACGTACTGTTAAACCGTTTCCCTTTGTACACAATTGTATCCAGAAATGTGACTTTTTCCTCAGAGATTTCTGCTGTGAATTTAATAGTGGCGTGATGATTATTTGCTTGTTCAGTGTTATTTGTTCTCTTCCGGTACCCCAGAGAGAGAAGATGTCGTCTATATATCTTTTCCAACAGATAGGCTTTATTGCGCTCTTTTTTAATAACTCTGTTTCTACTTTCGCCATGAAGATATTTGCGAAAGCAACAGCGACCTTTGTTCCCATCGCTGTCCCGTGTGTTTGGAGGTAATTTTTTCCATAAAAATGGAATGAATTTTCTTTTAAAATGAGTCTGAGCGCTCGTAGTGACTGTGTTGGAATCGGGGGTTTATCTTTGTAGTGAGTAACATATGCTTTGCATATAGTTTTGATCCCCTCTTCCTGTGGAATGTTGGTATATAGACTTGTCACGTCCATTGAAACAATGATCACGTACTTTGGGACTTCTGTGCTTTCTATGAAATTAATGAAGTCTGTAGAGTCTTTAAGATAAGAAGTCGTCTTTGTACTTTAGGTTGCAACAGCCTATCAAGAAATACTGAGATTCTTTCTGTTGGTCCGTCACAACCTGATATTATTGGCCTACCTACTGGTGTAGGCTTGTGAATTTTAGTTAGGGTGTGGACATGGGAATTCTAGGCGGGCTTGGTGTTTGTGACAGCCATTTTTTTGTCATGTCACCAATGTTTTGATTTTCATGTAGTTCTTGTATTAGTTGTTTCACTTTATATTGAGTTTCCTTAACCATCGGTATCTAGGTCTCTGAAAGATATACTCGTAAAAGCTTAACTCTGAGATTTAAAGGCTAAAACACGTGGGTGGAAAGCGTGAGTCAGGCTTGTCAACCCCTATGATTTTTCAAAGTAAATTTTAGCGCCTTAGTATAGTTAGCGATACCGGGTTCACTTAATTTTAGCGACAACGACTTCATAGTTAGCGACAACGAATTAAGTTTAGCGCCTTGATAGTTAGCGACAACGACTTCATGTTAGCGACAACGAAAACTTCAATGTTAGCAACAACGACTTCAAGTTAGCGACAACGAGTTTAATTTTAGCGACAACGACTTCAAGTTAGCGACAACGAAATAAAATTTAGTGACAACGACTTCAAGTTAGCGACAACGAATTTGAATTTAGCGACAACGAATTCAAGATAGCGACAACGAATTTAAGTTTAGCGAATTTTGAAACGTTTGGACAACCATAATCAGGAAGTTGATTACCCTTTCAATGGTTTTGCTTTTTCTCACTGTGTCTTGGATTCTACCTTACCTACATACCTGTGTTCACCTAAGCTGGCTCAAGACCAGTTTCATTGCTCTTGTGAGGAGCTGCAGATCTTTTGAAGTTTTTGCAATGTGGCTTCCCTTTTTTAAGGAAGGAGGCAATGGCAATTTTGGATAGTCACGACTGAAATGTGTGTGGAATGTGGGTGTAGCTTAACAATAGTGAATGAAATTTTTTAAAGATTTTACTCCCTGGTAAAGTCTGTTTACACCTGTGTTTGGGTTTTCTGTGCTTTTTAAAGAATGGTGTCTGCATCCTTGGACATAGGTAGTGGCCAAAAATATTGCAATACATATTTGAAAATTCTTTATTACGGTTTGCAGGAAAGCAAGGCAGAAAACCTGGCTTCTGAGTAAGTATTAATAATGCTTATAAATAAGGAACTGAAAGAAACAAATTGACATTGTGGTTTAAGAAAATAAACTTTTGTACATAATTAAGTTTCTTAAATAAACCACTACTTGTTCTCTTAAATTACAATGTTTTTACTACCTGTCTGAATGAGAGTGATGTCTGGGTCTAGGAAAAAAAAATATATATTGTGACCAGGCTATGGAAAGAATTAATCTTTAGAGTCTTACAGCTTGAAATTAAGAAAACATGCTCGTTTTGAGAAACTTACATGTAGGATATGATCTTACAGGGTGCAAAGAAAGTCAGTTTTACAGCTTGCCATTTGGAAAAGCTGTATTAGCCCAAGAGTCATTAATTTTTTAACTAGCCCGAAAAAGTTTTTGTCTTCTAAATTCCTCGAAAAAGTTCATTTGCTGATTGGGGAAGTTAAGAACAGAATTCACTAGCCTCAGAAGCCTGATAGCAACATCCACTAGCCCTGGGCTATCGGACATGCCTTATTTCTTTGCATGCTGTCTTGTAAGGCACAAATTGAAGATGTCCTTTACAGCTGTTATCAATGCTATAAGCCAATCTTGGCTCAGTGTTGATCTTAGCCTTCCATCTTCTGGAACCAGGCTGCTTATATGTGATCCTTTCTGAAAAGATGTCTGCATGTTCTTTATGTTAGGTGGTTTTGTTGTTGTTGTTCTTAATTAGAATATTGGAGTCATTTTATGGAGGGTATAATTTTGCAAAAAGGATTTGCCTTTCCTTTTTTTCTCCATGCACCTCAAGGATGTGGCAATAACAGCTTTATTTGATATGTTCTTGTTAGTGACATGCACTATAACATGCATTAATTATTAGTTACAATAACATGTGTGTGATTTTTCAACTGCTGTCTTTTAGTTATCAATACCCAAGCATGGCCAGGCTAGGAGAGATGGTCGGAAATGTAATTGACCATTTCAAGTAAGTCTGTTACAGAAAAGTCAATTCAGTTTGTGACTTCCACATCACATCCTTTTTAAAAGAGAATATTAGCTGTGGTCGCACTAGGGTTAAAAACCGGTATTTACGAGGGTGTTTTTCAGTGTTTTTAGTGCGACTGACTTTTTTTGCACTTCTGGTGTAAGTGTTAGTTGCTCGGGTAATGTGGTATCTTGAAAGGAAATTTACCACAGTGTAAACCACACTCAAAAGACTGGTAGAGAAGTGTTTACACCAAAGTTAATTACGAAAAAGGACTGGAAACTGCTGTGCTCACTACCCAGATTACATTTCCAAACTCGTGGGAAAACGCTAAATCTGTATAGAAAAAATGTGAGTTTTCCACAAAATTTTTATTCGCCTGTAGGACCAACAGTTAAGGAAGAAGGCCCATGGTTATTTGACATCTCTGTGAACATGGATAGGCCTAAATTGATCATCTTCAGTGAGCCATTCTCTGCATTTCCCTAACCCTGAAGGCGATCATGAGGAGCTGTCTTCTCTCAGTCAACAATTGACATAATTGTAAGGCAAGCTTCATGATCAAGGCATGGAGAGTAAAATTTACTCTCGAAGGCTATTTAATAGCCTTCGCTTCGTAAACAAGAAATAAAAATTAAATTAAAATCCCAACTAAACTTGCCATGAGAATACGTTGATCCTGCATTATGTTTTCTTTTAAATAAAACTTGAAATCTCGTATTCATCACCCATCTGTCATCAAGTCAAAAAAATCAATCCTTATGCAAAGGAAATCTGACCCTTAAACAGTAGATTTAGTGTTAACAGTGAAACGTAAACAGAAATGTTTACACTGCTGTTACTCTAGAGGTAAACCCTAGTGCGACCGCAGCTATTACTGCGAACTCCGAGTTTTCACCTTAAGTGAAAATGTACAGCTGTACATACCACATACATGTACATGTTCACCCTAATAAGGCTGGAACTAAAGAGTTAAATGTTATTAATTGAGATTGCTTGTTTGTTTTTGTAACAGTTTAAGTGACATGGTTTGTTTTGGTGTTGGTGCAGGAGCAAATGTTCTCACAGAACTGGCTGTAAGTATTAAATTTGAGGAAAACTTGTCATTGACTAAACATGATTTTTCATGTATGGCCAATTTTGGTGAAGCCACGTTTTCATATCTTAGGAAAATCCTGGATAATTGGGGATTTCACTGTGTTCTGACTATCCTAGATTTTGCCCAAAAATGAAAACTTAAAATAGCAGATATCCTTGATTGTGTGGGATAGTGTGGGATAAACAAAGAGACGGATCTGAAACACGGGGCGCTTTCCATTCAACAAAAATTCTGGTTTGAAATTTTGAAAATTCCATATTCTGGTTGCACAGAACTGACCAAAGCCACCACGCGTTTGGTTATTGTTCTTGTAAGCAGGATACAAAAGAGCAGTACTGGGGACAACAATTTTGTCAAATGGAAAGGGACATTTCAGTCCGTCTGACCAAAATGACCAGACCAGTCAAAGAGGACGACCTTCAAAGCTGGTTCCGAATATTCCAGTCAGACCAAACCAAAATGGTCCGTTCCATTTGGTGTACCAACTGAAATTTCCAGAATTTTGGTCTGAATGGAAAGCACCCACGGCTTTACCCATGCCAGACTTTGTGATAAGCAACAATTTTATTATACCCATCATAATGATATTATTGTCTTTTGTGCTGTCAGGGATCCTGGGGGTTCATGGGTGATTGTTTTTGCCTCTAACTGCTTTCTCTACACGTAGTCTTTCCCTTGCTTGTGTAAGCAGCAAGACTCATAATCTGCTACGCATTTTTCGTCGTATTTAGGACACAAAAGGGGATCATTGTGCCAGGTGTTCCTTGCGGAGACTGTGGAAACTGGCACTAAGAATTGTTGCGTGATCAAAGCCATGCATGTTTTGCATAGAAAGCTTAGGAAAGATTAAATTTAGAGCTTTTCCAAAATGTGTTGGTCCATAAATTCTATTGCTTGAAAGCACTGATTACTTTGGAATAAGTGAACACTACTGAGTGGTCAGAAAAATAATAAGAATCTTGATTAGCAAAACCGCGATGGTCGGGTGTTGTAAACTTTCATTGTATGCAAATGGCTCTTGTGGTGAGCATGCGGTTTATTTTTAGCGATGATTAAAATGATGTGCCATGAAAATCATTTTTTTGATCTCTGGCAGTGATGTAATTTCTCTGGAATCAAGGCCCTTGAATTTTCGTGTATTTATACACGCGTATAGCCTGCGACTGCAGACATATTTACGGTCGTCGCGAACACCCGTACTAAATCAATTCAGAAACAAATAACAGGTATCAACGTCGATAAAGTAGGAAGTAAAAAACCTTTAGCGAGTAAATCCTGTTTCGTGTAGAATTATTTGCCTCCTCATTTCTCTATCTAATCTCCAAGCAAGCGAGAGTGAATGCCTCTGTAAGAGTGTTCTTGTTCAAAATAGCACCAGGGACACATTTTGCAATTTTTTCTGTTTTGTTGGTAAGATCTGGGGTGAAACATATGGAGTATAATTTGTGGAAAGTGCATGAATGAGTGAGTGCCGTGTTCCAGTGATATTTCTGATATGGAATTTAAAACCAGTGTGTAATTACCATACAAAACACTTTTCCTGTGGCATTGTGTTTATTATGTACTGAGACGTTCATCACTCTGCCAGTCTTTCAAAAATGGTAAACCGATAAAACTTGCCATTGTACATTGTAAAATGACAAAGAAATAATGTGATATTTTAGTACTTTTTAGAAAGAATAAATTATATTAAAGATAAGAATGTAGTTTTTCAGCGAAACCAAAGCCGACCTTCCCCCTAGACCCCCCCCACCTCCCCCCTCAAAAAACCCCCCTACCTTTCCATCACATCCCATGAAGAAAAAAACCCTTTCAGACAGTTGAATGAAGGCTAAATACATATTTTGCTTGGGTAAAATGTGGTTCACCAATTCAATTTAGGTTAAGAACCTGTTTAACCTAGAACTAGACGTGACCAGTAATATTCCCCCACTTTAAGTACCTTTAGGTGTACAAAATGTAGATTTTAACAAGTGGGAATTTCTCTTTCAAAAGGTTTCAAAGTGGGGAAGTAAAATAGCAGGACTTGTTGTGGTAGAACCAGGCATTTCTTCTTCTTCTTTCAAAGAATGGGGTGAAGGAAAGGTAAGAATTCCTATCGCCAATCATCAGCTTTGTTTAGTTGCCTTTTACTTACTTGCTTTCCTTTTCTTGAAAAATTAATGTTGTCTTGTTGGCCTACCACAATCTTAGCACCTCCCATCATATACTAATATAAGTTGCCTTCCATGTAAAGACATTGACATTACAAACTGATTGGAGCTCTAACAAAAGTCTTTTTTGTACTAAGTTTGCTACGTGTTTTCCCCTACAGTGTACATAGCAAATGAGTGTTTTATTGCCTTCTAGATTAAAACAAGGCAACTTGACAAGAAAGGATTCACAGAAAGCACCATAAACTATCTCATGTGGCATCACTTTGAGAGGGTAAGAAAGAAGGCATTGACGATGTCAAGAAGAACTAAGTTAGCGTGGAGATTGTTAGTAGGGGGCAGCTGGTTCAAATGGTCAGGAAGTCAAACTTGCTGTACTTCCAATGAAGATAAGACTGTCGCAGTTGTAATAGCAGTTTACAGCTGTAAGCAATTACAAGTTAAGCCGTGCCCCCCCACCCAAAAAAAAAAAAAAAAAAAAATCTTGGGCCCTCAACAAGATCTGAACCCATGGTCTCTGCATAAGTGCTACATTGCTCTACCAACTGAGCTATAAAAACCCATACATTGGGAAGAGGCCAATTGTTGAGTTCATTTTAACCTGTGAAAGATGTGAAATAAATTATCAGGATGTATTGTATTTCCGCAGGTCACAACATCTTCATTCTTTGTACCTACACCTAAGCAAATCATTTCCATTTCCATTTTTTATGGCACAATTGACAGACCAGCTAGACTAGCAAGAATATGCCAATGACAACTTTTGTTAACCCCTGTAACTGAGGCTAGCGCTCATGTTAATTATCTATAATATTATTATTATTTCTGTGGACATCCCTTGAAGATGTATTCTTTCTGATGGCAGGACACTGGAAAGCCATCTGAGGAATTGGTGGATCGGTTTGTTGAAGATGTGAAGGAGAACATGAATGCACACAATGTTGCTGCATTTGTAAACGCTTATAACAGGTGAATGCATGTCTTGTAAAAAAGGAAATGGAAAGAAACACTAAGCAAAAGATGTTGTTGTAAGTAATAGCGTCTCCAACTGTCAAAAAACTTGGATTACTTCATGCCCAGCGTTAAAGTTATGTGTTTCATGATGCCTTTTCAAAAACAAAATAGATAAATAAAGTGTTAGTTGCAGTACATTGTCATGAAATATGTACTGTTCCGATGTCTTTTGTTCTCAGCCCATACTACATACTTTTCATTTACTTCTCAAACATTGCTAAAATAAATTGTAGTATAGTTTTGTGTTCTTTGAGTTGAAAAGCCATTTTCCTGTTTGTCTAAAAGCTAAGCTTTAAAAATTCCTCTACCACAGTCTGTATTCCAGTGTGCCATCCTACTTGTAATAATTCTGCTATTCCTGGTTTACTGTGTTTCAGCCGGAACGATCTGGTGAAGGACATGAAAGGACACAAGCTTGAGTAAGTTTGTTCACTTTACTGTTCTTGGATGATAAAGTTGTTGTGTTATATAATAATATAAATACTTATATGATGACTCCCACTAAATACATTTTCATTCTGATAGTGTGTTTTTTTTGGGGGGGGTGCTGATGTTTTCAATTGCTAGAAATTAGTAATATTTCATAATGGTCTGCAGCCAGTGTTTTTTGCTATATTTTAGTTTTAAGCAGTAACTGAAAAATGTTTAACAGCTACTTGTATTTGTTGCAGTGAAAAGACAGGTGTCCTTGTGGTGACTGGAGAACATTCTCCTCATCGCAGGAATACTGTGAGTGCATAACTATTGCCTTATTATCATCTAGATCTTAATCAATGTGCATATTCTCCTCACTATTCTTTTGTACACCTCTAATGGCAGTAGTGACATTTTGTTCTGAAAATTAGACATTCAATTTAAATGTCTGAAATTTGCATAAATTCTAAAGAACTTAATTTAACTTGATTTGCAAGTACATGGTTTCGGTTCGTTGTCACTTCCTGCCCTGTGATCTCGTTACAAACGTTTTCCACAGATAATCCATGGCAAACATGTATAGAAACTGTTCCTTCCCCTTGCTCGAGGGCTCTAGTTTTTATTACCGAAATACTATTTTTAGAAAGATATAAACATAGCCAATAGAAAACAAACGTATTGAAAAAACAAAGTAAACTAAGTAAAACAAACTATAAAATAATTTTAATTTTCTCTTTGGATAAAATGTCCCTGTAGTACATGGTATTAGCGTTTGGAGTAATGCTACTGAGTTCAAAACCCGCCATTGGCCAAATATTTTCCATGAATTTAATAAATGCCTTTCTTTTTCTTTTTTATGGTTACTGGAGTACAGTCTATTCAGTGCCAGTAAGCTTGTGTTCTCTCAGAAGACCGTCTATATTTTTAGGCTGTCGACATCGGCTAAACTGTGTTTAAGCAACCACTGGTTTTGACCTCTTTTGCTATCAAATCTCTACGTAAAGTTCAAGTTAGAAAGTAATTAGCAGTTATTGGATGAGGCTGAGCAAAATATGGTGTTTTGTCAGTAGTGAGCAGATCTATGGCTGAGGCAAATAATCGATCTGCAATTGTTTTATCATTCAGTCACCGAGTTTGTTTTTTGATAAATATTTTCGAGAAGCTGCCATTTTCACACAAGAGTGATCACAGGCTTCATTTAGGCATGAGCAGAATATTATTTGCAGCCAAACACAGCTAGACGACATTGCACATGAGCAGGCCATTATTTGCGGGCAGTTATTTACAGGTCTCATTGTGGGCTTGCGGCCAATGAAAAAGAAGAAAAATTTGCATCGGATGATAATGATTATTAGGTCGGTGCTTTATTCTTATCCAACCTGGCAAGGAATTTATTCTGGTCTTAAGTTATTTGGGTCTAAGGAAGGAGAAGCCTGAAAATGGCAAAAACTACTTAATTTACAGGATTTGGTTATACAGTCAACTCTCTCTAAGACGGGCACCTTTGGGACCAGCACTAAGTGTCCATCTTAGAGAGATGTCTGTCTTATAGAGACTCAAATAAAGGAGTAAAGAAAGGCAGGGACCATCTCTAGGCGTCGTTTTACAGAGGTGTCCGTCTTATACAGGTGTCTGTTAAGAGAGAGTCGACTGTACTTGTACTGAAAGTTGCTGGTTGTTCATTTTAGGAAGATAAATTCTATTATGGTGATGTATTGAAACAAACTGATGTTAAAATCAAGAGTTTGCTAACACCTGATTGTGGAGCTAGTGTTCTGGAAGAAAAGGTAGATCAGCTTATTGTGTCATTTCCCCATTCTCGTTAAAATGTTTTGTTGAAGCTAGAGTGAAGTTGGTCATTGTCACTCTGACAGCAATCTGAGTTAAAAAGGAACAAGGACTTTAGTGCTTACCTTAATACAGGAAAATGCCTTAGTGCTAAAAAGCTGTTTTCATAAAAAGAAGAGTTAAGTTTTGGGACTATTGTGCTTAATAACAAATAACAATAGTAATAATGTGGCCATAATGCAATTCACGACTTTCACATAGACCATAATGCTCTTTGTTTACCCCCAGAATTTTGCATAATCATTCTCCTGGGTATGACAGTCGTCCTAAGGGAATTCTAAGACAATGGTTATGTAAAGTTTTGGGGGGTAAACAAGGCACATTGTGGTCTATGTGAAAATGGTGAATATCGTACACTTTAAAATCATGCTTTAACCAAAAATCACTATTTGCACTCTTGCTGTTCATTTTCTTGATGTTCCCTTTCATAATCATCATTCCGTAGCAGTCATATGCTAAGTATCCCTCATTACCACTATTCAAAGTTAGGATGCTGCACACTAATTGCACATTTAACATGAGCACAGAGGGGGAGGGAGAATATGGAGAGAAGATCAGGAATGGTGAAATGTTTTGACCTTCTCAACAGTAGCTTTTGATCAGGGGAGAAGTTTCCTACCATAATATTATTGACTCTGGACTGATTTCCTACTTTTTTATTTTTTGCATTGGAAAAGTTTCAGTAGATAATTTGCTGAAAAAAAAAATCAATAATCTAATTCTTCTGCATTTTTCACCGATAGCCCGAGAAGATGGCTGAAGGATTGCTCCTTTTTATTCAAGGACTTGGCCTGGGTAAGATGTTTCCTTCTAATATTTATTCAAGTATTTAAAAACATGTTGCATAAAACATGTTTATCTGTAGTGCCAAGAAGAACACCCATAAGATTGTTAACAGGAATAAGATTGTGCTTGCTGAATGATATCAGTGAAGTTAACGAACGCTGTAAAGTTGGAACAAATAAGGAGACTTTTCTTTTATGGCTTACATGAAGGTGCAATGCTCCCATTAACTCTGAAGTCATATGTACTTGACGTGAATTGTTTCATGTATGTAAATTAGTAAGATACCCGTTTACGTGTACTGATCATGTACGGCTGTTCTTTTCCACACTGAAACCAATTATTCCACTATGGAGAAAGGTTTCGCCCGTTATACATTTCTGTAGATCAGACATTCTTTTCGGGAGATTTTTTCCTTTCACTTTGTGAGGTTATACATCTGTACTGTTGTGAAAATTTTGGCAAAGCTCAAAAACTTATCGTTCTGTTTGCCGTTTGTGTATTTGTAGTGTATTTTTTTGAATGGAAAAAGTGCATTCAAGCATTAATATAACCAGTAATGAAAGAGTACGCACTTGGAGTGTTGTCACATGATCTTCAATTCAAAAACCGTATTTAAGAAGTGAGTAAACTCCATTACGACATTCTTATACTTACTGTTTCTTATTTGTTTTGTTTTGCAGTTCCCACACTGCGTACGCGCTCCATGTCTGGCTCATCAACTGGCTCTCGCAGCGGTTCCATGAGTGAGGATTAAGTACACTGATCGGCACATTTGCCAATGTTTTGATGACCTCACCCCAGCATATAATTTTTGAGTGGAGTGTTATGACTGTGAGGAAATGTCAAGTCTTTCCTGACAAATTTTTAGCCAAGGATATAGTAACAGGATATAAAAAGTAATAGTTCATGGATTGGTATAGGATAAGGTGATTTGGAAAATACTGAAATGAAAATACTTGATGCAGTGTCTCAGCACCACGCAAAAGAGTGATGTAACGTTTTTACAGCTTTTGTATTCTTTCCTCTCTTCCCTAGTCTTATGGCAGATGGAAAGAGCTCATGGAAAACTTAAAACCTGAAACGTGGAAAATTCTTTTTTCATTTATGCCATCGTTTTGCATTCACTTTTGTCCCCTAAACAGAATAAAATTTGTCTTCATTCCTTTATCTGTTTGATTCATTTGTAGAGTCAACAGGCCCTTTTCATAACGACACCATTTGACTTCATATCCAGAATATTTCATGATTTAGTTTTCCTGCACAAGTTAAAGTCATGATGGTTTATTAACCTTACTGAGATTACTTAGGGCGTGTTCTATTGACCGTGGATAAAAGTAAATGGATTAAACTCTAGAAATCGCTTATTTTGGCGTTCATTGCATTGCAATCTCTAGAAATTTGCTTGAAATAAAATATTGCGCTGTATGTATCGTGCAAGTGGTCCAAAAATTACGACAGAAGAGATTTGAAACATAACTATTGCGTATTGTTATTTCGGAATACGATCGGTCGAACGCACCCTGAATTGAATGAGAAATGAAAGGTGAAGTATCCTCTGATGGATTTAGTCGAATAAGGTTATCTTGATTCCAGCGTTTTCCTTCTCCTGCTATCTCATTTTTTTAGACCCGCGAGAAGACTATCCCTGAGACTAGAGAGCTTTCTTATGCGGTTGTTCATCGCGGGGATTGCGGATATTCTTCGCATTATGTCACCAGTTTACTCCCCCTCCCTGCCTCCCACCACTTTCGTACACAAGGATAGGAGAAACCGTATGAAACTAACCTACCAATAAGCTTCGACTAAAAACCAATGTTTTCTTGAAGCAGTGGTTTTAGTACAAGAGTTGAGAGCTGGCCTATTCAATCGAGAAGAATGAAACAGCCGGATTGTTAGCCTGACTTGTACACAGGCGCTTTTTAGGATTTTCGCTGATGCAAGGGGTTTTTGCAAGGGTTTATGGGGAAGTTAGACTACGAATAGTCCCACATTTTTCCTCAGGGATAGTAGAGCGAGCGAAACGCGAGCGGGCGTAAAAATCACCACACCCGAGAAAAGGCGACACGCGGCGGGGAGAGAGAAAAATGAGGGACTACAGACAAAGCCCAAGCTTTTGACCCTTCACGGCCGACTGATTTTGCAGTGTATCCCTGAGGAAAAATGTGGGACTACTCGTAGCCTCATTTTTCTCTCTCCCCGCCGCGTGTCGCCTTTTCTCGCGCGCTCGCGTTTCGCTCGATCTACTATCCCTGAGGAAAAATGGGGGACTACCCGTAGTCTATGGGGAAGTACGTAAAATGGGAAACGCCATTCTCTTCCCCAAAGTCCATCCTTTCTGTTGGACACGTGGCATTGAAATAAGCCGAGTGGCTCTGGGGACGAGAATGGGGAAGCTTCGCTTTTCTACAGATTTCACTTTGAGCATTCCCTTGTGCCTTTGTGTCGTTACGGCTTTCTTCCCAGAGGGGCTGGAGTACACTAGATTCCAAGTGACGGGGATGCATTATCGAATGGGGGTAAAAATCCACACCCCCAAAATCCCTAGGGTTTCTAGAAAAACCAAAAAATTCCTTGGACCAATTTTAACCCCCAAAAAATCCCATGCAGAATTTCCGAGCCTTAAAAATTTCCAGAAAACAAAACATTAAAGTTCGGTTGAACTTTATTGGCAGAAAATACGCGGCTGAGATATGCGGGCTCTACCACGAATCTTCAGATTGTTTTTAATTTCCCCCAAAATTAATGCCAAATTCTCCTACCCAAAAAATATCCTTCTATCATTCCTGTCACTTGAAATCCGGGGTACCTTCTGGGGCTCCAGCTATATAAGCCATGTAGGTATGTACCGCCCCAAATGGTAGGGTTTTTGCGCGGTTATGGTCTGACAACGGGTATAGACTTTATCCATTTTGGTCTGGAATAGGGGAATGGTTCTCGAGGCAACTAAGGGACTGTATGAACGTATTTTTCGTTTAAAGAGAAATATGCAAATTCGAAATGGATTTAAAAATCGAAATTTATTTTGGTGCTCTTGTTATCTAAGTAAGTACTTAGCGGAAAGGTCTGAAAACGAGTATGGATTTTAGAGGCCAGGTCTGAAAACGGGTCGGAAAAATGACATTCCTTGTGCATGTCAGTCTCCTAAGTACTCCACGTGGGAAAGGAACGCTTGACGAAGCCCTAAGAAATTAATCCATATGCTGATGACACAACGCAACAAATCATGCACACTGTTTAGGACAGACTTGCGCGAAATTATATACCCTGTTTAAGACAGAGAGGACGAAAACCATACCCTGTCCAGCGGCACATGGGAGTAAGGGAGTACTCCCCCTCCCGGAGTAGCTGCCAATTGACGACATAATATGGTTAAAGAACTTTGTGTGTGATGTTCAAAATTGTGAACAAGGAATGTCCAGATTATTTCACAAGTTATAGAACTTATAGACTGTGACTTTAAGTTCAAATTAAAGGTTTCATTTGGAATTTTGTGGAAGATTATAGTTGCATTGTTGACGATTAAGTAGCTTATTAGAGTGGAGAAGGTGAACTGAAGTTCAAATCATGTAATTTGCATTTTAGTTGGAATGGTGATTTGAACTTCAACTTCCGCGATGTCGAGTTTTTCCCTTATAGTTTCAACTTGTTCAAAGTAACTTCAAGTTCGAATGATGCTATTTCGACTGCGTTTATTGCGATTTCAAATTCATATGACGAGATTTCGACATGGATAGTCTAATTTTTGAACTTCAAATTGTATTTTATTTTCAATTATTTTTGTCCGCAAAGGTACGCCATACCTGGCAACCTGACTTTCCTCAGTTTTCATGAAACGCAAGCGATCCTCAATCTTTCAATGGAAGAGCAGCACCTGACAACGATGTCGTTAAAAATTTTCAAAAAAAATTAATAATGTTGGCCAAATTTGCGCATGGGTGAAAAAATTTGAATCGTTATTATATTTTCTCGCAAACACTCGTGAGAATCTTTTGTACGGAAAAAGTACCGACACAGAAACGCGCGTAAAATATTAATCTCATTAGCACAGCATAAAAGTTAGACCGCGCTAGTGAAAGTATGGGGAGTTAAACTAAGGAACCGAGTTGGCAAGCGAGTTAAACAAACTTTGGACGATTTGGTTATTGATTTGAGACAAGTTTTTGGCTGTGTTTTTCTTTTTTGTTGCTTTTTAAAGGAAGTCGTATTTGTGGTCTAGCATCAGTCCCGATTTTTAGGGTTTCGCCTGGGTAGAAATAAAATGCCCTATTTGAAGTTGAAACAAGAATTTTGAAGTCAGTCAGGTTATAGCCAGGTAGGTATTGCCGGGATAACCGCACATTGCTCAACAACTTCCTTGTAATAACTTTGTCGATCTTACAATGAATCAATGAAGCAGTTCACAACCAAACTTAAAACATGTTTTTCTGAGACTAAAGTTCAAATGTGAAAGGCAGGGGCACGAGAAAGAGCAGAAAAGAAACTGGGACCCTAAAAAACAAAACCGGGGCCGCTACGCAACATATGGTGTTCTGCATAGCTGCTGGCGTTTTCATCCGACTCCTCCCTCTTCTCTCTCCTCTCATCTGTTCCTAATCTGGAACATGGCCAGAAATTTCCGATATCGAATTTAACTTACAGGTTCAGGCTGTCATGCAACGGTTCAAGACACTGGGTACACTATAATACTCTTATATGAGATACGTATCGGGACGTATGTTTTGACCACTGGCCAGTAGGAGCGAGGGTTTAAAAATTCAGCATGGCGGCTGACTCTAGCTGTTTCATGTCTTTTCTTAGCCTTTTTTTCGCAGAATACTCTGTACAACTTAAAACTTGCAATTCTTTGTGACGGAAGTTTTTAGGAATGGCTTCGAGGGAGCTGGAAAACGCTGTGAAAGTAACTGAGGGTAAAGCAGAAATGTGTTTCCCCGATTCCAATTCGGTCTTTTACAATCCCGTTCAAGAATTTAACAGGGATTTGAGTGCCGCAGTTTTAAGACTGTTCTCGAAGGAATTTTCATGCAACAACAAGAATAAGAAATCAAAGAAAAGACCTTATAATGTTGATGAACTGAAAGGTGAAGACAAAAGAAAAGACGAACTTCAACAAGACGATTCTAATCACTTGGAAATGAAGCGGGATGTTGATTGTGGAGAACATGCTGATGAAACTGGCCAAACCATAGGTAGGTATGGAGTCTAATAAATCAAAAACATGACTAAGAAAAATTGACAGTTTTCAGGCGTTTGTGATGTCATTCAGACAGATTACACTGTTCCTACATCTATTAACCCTGTAAGTCTTATTCATCAGTCAATTCCACCTGTGCACAGCCAGCCCCCCACCCCCCCTCCCGGGCTGACCCCCGGGTATTAGCATTTTTTTTTGCCTTGGATGGCAAATTACTGGGGGTGGAGACTCTTGAGCAGTCAAATCTCCCAGGGTGGGGACGAAAAAAGAGGGCAAAATGCCCTCTCCTCCGTCAACACTGTAACATTTTTCATTGATCACACAGTCGACTAGTGCCATTTTAAGTATTTTAATGTGCGATTTTTTGTTTCAATTAACATCTTACTTTGTAATAGCACTAGGATTCTAATTAAAACTTCACGCCGCCATGACATGAACCAGTTTATGGGTTTAGTGTTGATATAAAATTATTGACATTAAAATAAATAGAGCGCTGTAAAGTTATATGTTATGAATAGTCTTATAAATATGAAAGGATGTTCTTCAAATAGTATCAACAGAAATTTGATTCAATAACCAAAAAATGTTGATTCACATCGATAGCTCCAATTTTGCTATGTAATTCTGGCTTGATAAGCAATGAAGAAATGCATGCATACATGTAAAATTGAGAACATGCCTTTACAACCCTCTACAATTTATTCCTGTCCTTGACAGATGAGCCAAGCTACTTTTTTTCCAGTAAAACCTTCTGTGTAGTTATATTCTGATAGGAAACTGTGTGCATGTCAAAAGCTCGGTAATGGCCTGGGGGTTGGTAAATGCCTGATTGAAATCCGGGGTACCTTCTGGGGCTCCAGCTATATAAGCCATGTAGGTATGTACCGCCCCAAATGGTAGGGTTTTTGCGCGGTTATGGTCTGACAACGGGTATAGACTTTATCCATTTTGGTCTGGAATAGGGGAATGGTTCTC